ATTAAATAACAAGGTTTTTTTTCATGGGATTTTCTGTATCTGTTACAAATGAAACATGTTTTAAAAAGAAATCTCTCTATGCATTTGGATATGGAATTACTGTTTGCTAACATTAACGATTTAAATGTAAAAATTGAAACCTAGATTATGGAAGACTGTAGAGGGCACTAGGCCCTTGTGCTCACGTATCAGGACTAGAGAACCCAGCAATGTTACAGAAGTTGTCTCTCCAACAGAAGAGACATAGTCCTGTTTTTCACCCAGAAGGTTGGGAACGGGTGTGGTTAATAGCCTGGTGACCTGCGCTATCTGCAGGTCCAGACCACACCTGTATCCCCATCTTCCTCCCTCAACCTTTACCTTGAACATTGTTTCTCAGTCAATAGAGCGCATCCTTAGGGGAGATGTCCCATGTACTTTATAGCTTGATGACCTCTGTGATGACCAAGACCATGTCCGATCCTCCCCAGGCCCTTAAGCTATAGAACCCATCCTTATAGCAGAGGTCACATGCACTTAGCAAAATAGTTTCTATTTAGTCACACTTTAAGCTTTATTGTGCACACAGGATTGAGATAACTGTTAACAGCAGACTTTTTCCCCCCAAAGTTGTACTGTACTTAAATGCCTAAAATAAGGTGCCTGGTGTTAGACCCTAGATGTTTGAACCAATACTGGCTACTCAACTGTGTTGAACTGGTTTCCTTCTTGCCTCACGTGGATTGTTACACTACTGACCCTGGTGTTTGCAGATACTCCCACAGAAGACCAACAAAATTGTGTGGTGACATGAAATACAATCAGAATGGAAACAGTCACATAGTGTCAAAGAAGAGATGTCATTGTGTGATCTGAGTTTCTAATTCCCATAGGACAGAGTTGAAAACAAGCTTAATGTGTCTTATAAGTAAAGCCATCTTGTGTGGCTTGGACTAATGTAAGGCTTGCAAGACAGGCGTCAGCCACAAGGAAGCCCCTATGTGAGCCATGCCTATGGTAAGCTCTGATAACCAACTCCAGAATGGCTCCGCTATGTTAGCAAATCAACCCTAAGTTGTGAGTCCAGATAGCACAGAGGAAATGCCCACAGGAACAAAGCAAACAACTGGAACTTTGGAGGCTGCACCGAATCCCACTGTGATAGTCCAGAGACAGAGCATCTCAAGCCTTGGCACTGATTGCCTGCAGCAAAGGGACTTTGAGACTGGCTACTGTGTGATCCTGGCTCTGGCGACCACAGCTGAGTTCACATGTGCCTGCCTGTCAAAGGCTAGCCTCTGTCCAAAGCTGTCAAAGACCTCTGGTCCCTCCAACAGTGTCACCCTCTCTGCCTGCCACAGCTGAAGGATGTCCTTATGAATACCAGAAGAGCTTACTCCCACAGCATGTTCACCAGAGAGGACCCCACCAGCAGAAGCCTGCAGCATTTCCTAAGCCTCCATTCCCTGCTCTGTAAGATGTATGTTTACATGACACTACTGCAACAGCATGGTATTGGAAGGTATGTTTGTGTGAATAAATGGAGCATGTTCTAAAGGCATATCGCCTGGGGACATCCTAATTGCTGAGTGCTACACAGTCTACCAGCTCTGCTTGCTACATTTAGTATTTACCAAATGTCCTATTATAACTTATATTGAAGGGCCTGGACCCTTGCCCAGCCCTGTGCTTTGGCAGCCATGACAGGCTACAGAAAAGACCCAGCAGGACGTAGGCCTCTGATTCAGCACCACATGCTGAGCCCCTGACCATGCCTAACCTTGCTCTAATCACTAGGAAGCCAGATACCTTTCATGTGCCAAGGAACTAATCAGAAGGTATCTGGCAGGCTTTGGATGTGCTTTACTGATAATAGTGGAATGCAGAGCACAACAACCACCCTGAGATAACCTCTAGATATAGCAACGTTTCTGCAGCTACAGCTGAGCAACCAGCCTGGAGGCACACCAATCCTGAGATTATTGCTATGCAACTAGTGGACATTCCCCACCCCACCACTCCCCTTGCTCTACCCCAATATATGCCCTGCCCCACTGCTGCTCAGGGTCCTTCCTGCTCCACCTGCTTGTCAGACAGATGGAGGACCCAAGTTATTCCCAGTTAACTTGTTAATGAAAAAGACTCTTTGCTTTTTCATCATATCTGGTCTCGTGGTGGTTTGGGCGGGGTTCAGAGTCTGGGCACAATAATATGTGAATGTCTCAGAATTTGGGGGATATAAGTATAAAAGCCTTATTATATTTTATATGGAACAGAAATAGAGCATGTGGAATCCGTATTTATTCACCAATAGAGTTCAACATATGCAGTGTTCTTATTTGAATATACTAAATGGTGCTGTATATTTGATTATGTTGCCTACTTGTCCCTAAGAGTTGGTTCCCTGTATTTAGACAATGTTGTGATGACAATGGGAACAGTAACAATGTCATACCAAGCAGCTGGGCCCAGGCTTGTAGATAAAACTCTCAGTACCTGAGTTGTACTGTGTAGGTAAAGTACATAAAATAGCTACATAGTACGATTTAAGCTGTATAAGAAAGCTCATAAGAATTCATTTACACAATGGCGTATTATTCAGTGGAAAAAAACAATGGAATTTTTAAATTTGCAGACAAATGGATGGCACTAGAAGAAACCATTCTGTCACAAAAGAGAAACATGGTATGTACTCAGTCATATATGGATTTTAAACATGAATCAGGGGAGTGCCAGCCTACAATCCCACTGCCAGAGAGTCTGGGAAACAGAACCTTCAACCAATGACTGATGGAATCAGAGGCAGACAGCCACAACTAAACACTGGGCTGAACTCAAGGAACCCAGTGACAGAGAGGGAGGACTTATGAACATAGGGGTCAAGACTGGGAAACAGCTGATCTGAACCCCAGACTGAAGGCTGGGAATCCAGCATGGGACTGATCCAGACCCCCTGAATGTGGATATCAGTGAGGAGGCCTAGGCAATCTATGGGGCCTTGGGTAGTAGGACTTTGGGTGCCTATCCCACAATGAGGGATGCTCTCTCAGCCTGGACTCTTGAGGAAGCACCTAGGGCCTGCCCTGAATGAAATGGCAGACTATGGGTAACCCCCACGGAGGACCTCACCCTCCCTGGGGAAAGGAGTGAAGATTGGGGGATGGGGGAGTTGTTGGGAGCGTGTGGGAGGAGGGAAGGGAGAGGGAAGGGACCTGGGATTGACATGTGAAGCAACCTTGTTTCTAATTTAAATTTAAAAATAAAAAAGACATAAAAAAGAATATCTGGGTGTCACAGATTCTTGTATTTCACCATTAGAAGCTCTTCATTTCTACCTGTAAAACAAATATTCCTAAAAGACATGGTATCTAAAGCTGCTTTTAGGCAACACAACACCTTAATAAGATGTAAGTGCCACCATTCTGAGAGAGACTTACAGGGATGGGACATGTATCCCATACCTGAGGCAAGGCAGGAGAACTCTCAGTGTGTGAGTGTGTGTGTGTGTGTGTGTGTGTGTGTGTGTGTGTGTGTGTGTGTGTTGAACAGGGAGGTGGAGAATTTGGTGACAAGCTTTCTCTTCTTCAGACCAACTCTGTTTAATTACAGATCCTCAAGTTGTTCTGAGAAATCTATTCCTCTCTTGGACTTGCCCAAGACTAAAAGTTTTTGTTACCAAAATACAGAAGGAGGGAGGAGGATAAAATAGCAGTAAGGATATGGAATTGCACTATTAACTACCTGCAGATACCTGTAATTCATTCTCTCTCTCTTTCTGCATGTATATTTCACCTACTCTCTCTCTCTCTCTCTCTCTCTCTCTCTCTCTCTCTCTCTCTCTCTCTCTCTCTCACACACACACATACACACACACACACATGTGTCAGTTCCATCTCTGTGAAGTGTATAGTGCCTTCAGCAATAGGGATTTAACCTTCCACCTCTAAGAGGCAGTAGCAATATGGTGTAATATTTTGGGACTCTCTTGGATAACTCTGACTAAAAACTCAAAGGAGGGTTTCTCATGCCTGGTATTGGGGTTTTTATTAGATGGTCTTTGACTCTTAGAAGTCCCACCCAAGTATGATAACTGTAAGTCAAAACAACAACCAGCATGGCATAACCCTAAAGGTGCAATAGTGGCACACATACCTTGGCAGTAACCATCAGCTCTCTTATTGGACTTAAGACATGCTCAACAAGAGGGAACTCATGCCTGGTACTGGAAACCTAGTCAACTACCTGGGCTAGTGAATCCATAGATCCTGCAGGAGAATCTATAACCAGTACTTTACTAAACCAGCATAATCTGTAACTACACTATATTTGTCCTTATACCCACAGATAAAAGTAGTTCTCACCCCTCACCTCATCAAGGAAACTTCTCTTTGCAAAAGAGAGACACCACTATAAAAAACCACAACCAATTCAAATGCATAGTTGTGGAGCCCAGTCTCATCTATAATACAGCTCCTGCCCCTAAGGCTCAGGGACCATTATGGGAAAGGGGGAGGAAAGATTGTAATTGCCAGAGAAACAGGGAGATGTTTTGTGTGTGTGTGTGTGTGTGTGTGTGTGTGTGTGTGTGTGTGTGTGTGTGTGAAATTTTGAAATTTTGTCTACTAGGAATGTCAGAAGCTACACCTTCAAAGTCTCACCAACTCATGCCTAAACATGAACTGAACAAGGATAATAGATGTGTTAATGTAAACAGAGGAAAGCCCAAGTGGCCTCACCTTACACAAAGAAGGATTGGCAGCTAAGGAATGCTGAGAGCAATAAAGCAATAGAAAGTTTTCCCCAGGGAAGAGCACATCAATTGATTATTCAATACCAAATGGTAAGCTCTTAAAACCTATGCATACAAGTTGTTGACATTATACAGGCTGAATAGGCTATACTTATGTATGTAGGTGTGTGTGTGTGTGTGTGTGTGTGTGTGTGTGTGTGTGTGTGAACAATTAAGGAAAAAGAGGCCATGGAGGGAGGGAAGGGAGAAATGATATATTAATCTCAAAAAATAAAAGGAATGTTTTTTTAATTTTTTGTTACCAAAAGGAAATGTTTAGGAGTAAGAGAAAGCGCAGTGGGTGAACAAGATGACTAAGGTAACGCCATCTTGTTCTGACTCCATTTTATGTTCACTTAGATAGTTCTCAGCTTCCCACACATTTGAGATTTCCATGACCTTGACCATGGTTCAGACATATTAGTCAAAACAATTAAAATAAACTGAAATAACGAGAAAAGTATAAGTAAAAAATACAGGTTATGTCTAAAATACTTGCTATTCTCTGCCAGGAATGGACGTTTCAAGGTACTCTGACCCTCATCTAACTCAGGTAAATTATGGTCTTTGTGGGTTTTGCTATGTAGTCAATGATGACTGTGAATTTCTGATTCTCCTGCCTCCACCTTTCTGGGTGCTGGGATTACAAGTGTACAGGTGTATACCACTACACATGGTTTATGTGGTGCTGGAGTTTGAATCCTGGGGTTTGGGTATACTAGGTAAGTAAGTCCCCTACCTACTGAGCTACAGTCCCAAGCTGGCAGCATCACTTTCATTCTGTTCTACTCCTACTAAAAACAATATAGTTTACAAAAACTTGCTTAACAGAACACTATTATAAATTCCTTACTATTTAAGTTTAAATTTTCACCATTTTAAAATGAAAGTATTTCCAGACATTGATAATGTTTGGATGGCCAGCATGGCATCCATTCAAGGTGCTGGTTTCCAGGGTGTTGTTTTGTTTTTGTTGTGGTGGTTTTAACCGAGGAAGGGAAACAGATTAGCATTCTGTTTCCGTGTTTCTTTTCTCTTGCTTGGCATTTTGTCCCTCTGAAGCAACTGACACGACTGCTAAGTTGCTCGTGCTGCTAGCATGGGCTGCCCTGTCTAGTTTGCTAGGACTGGGTTCAGCACTCCTAGGATGGCCATGCAAACTTCTTGACCTCAAACAGGAGAATCCTAAAGTCTGGTGGGGTTTCACAGACAGTAAATTCTCCTGTCCAGTCCTGTCAGCGGCAACCGTGAAGGCTGAACGGGAGATCTGAGGAGCCAGGAGAGAACCACTGCGCTCATCTTCAAGCTCATCTTGCACGACTGCTTCTGACACGATGTATGGGATGTCTGTGCTGCGCGAGCGCGTGATCCTTTGAACTTGGCATTTCCATTCTTCTGAGTGGAAGTTCCATGCTTGGTCCATGATTGAACTGTACTCGGCACCCCAGTTAAGTCCCCGGACCAGTTTTCTGCCCTCAGAATAGACGAAGCTTCTGGACTTCATTGTTTTGTAGGCGTTGGGGTCTCCCGGGTAGAAGCGTGTGAGTTTGCTCTCCTGCAGCTGGTGGGAAACGGTGCTTTCCACAGTCAGCTGAGTGCCTGCAACACCCGCGGTGGTCAGATATGGTGCAGCTTCTGCGCTCTTAAGGTCAGCTCGTGGGTCGAGCTCGCCCGCGGAGAAGCCGGGTTCTGGTCCCGGCCTGGGCTCTGCGTTCATGGGACCTTCCAGGGCAAGCCAGCTGCGGCCTGGTGTAGTGGGCGGGCTGGGACCCGGGGTGTGGTGCAAGCTCCCCGGGCAGTCCATGTGAGGCTTTGCATCCTCTTCCTTCACCCGGAAGGAACAGGTTTTTTTCCGGAACGCTGTCCCTGGCGATGGAGAGAGGGCAGGCTCCTCAAACAGAAGCTCCTCGCCATTGAAATGGTAGCGGTACATACTGTAGCCATCTGCACTGTTGATGCTGCTCTGCCTTAGCAGGTAGGTGGCCTCGCATTCTGAGGATGCTCGCGACCGAGCCTGGATCAGATCAGACCTGTCAATGCCTGCCAAATTCTCCAGAGCGCTCACCATCCTGCCAGACAGCTCTTCCAGCTGAGAGAGCCGAAGGTCAACAGTCTGCAGAGACGTCTTCATGAAATTTTCTCTTTCATTGATTTCCTCCAACCTCATTGACATATTTTCAACTCTGGTAAATATAAAGAAATAGGTTTATTAAATTGAGATTAATTCAATACGGAAAATAGTAGAGCTAATGCCGTCACCGTATGAGCCTCTAGGCTTTGATCCCCGGCCTTGCTGAGTCTGTTCGTGCATGTTGCCCACATCAATACAAACCCTCACTCAAACTGTAAGTATTAGGAAGTATCAGTTGATATACAGTGTTTACTGTATGGTAGATATTCTGTTAGTGTGGTGTGTGCTCACTAATAAGTCTTTATTTGGTGCTGGTCTAGGAATACTTAATCCCCATCACTGCCCCATCCGGTAAGCACTGTTACTGTTTTCCCCATTTTACAGGAAGGAAGTTAAGTCACAGAAAGTATAAGTATTAGCAGGGGTCAGAGTTAATAAGTCCAGAGTGTGTGATTTGAGCACACACTGTTTGCTTCCGCCATCATTGCCTCTCACTGCCTTAGGAATGAAGAAATGTACCCCATAGCTGCTGGATGGCAGGCTGCATTGGGTTAGGGAACACAGAGTCTTACTGAGAACACCTGAGGGAGCTCCTGCGAGGACATTTCAGAGAGGATTCATTGAAGGAGAAGACTTGCTGTGGGCAGCACAGTCCCGTCCCTCAGGCTGGGGTCCCCACTAAAAGAAACGAGGAAAAGCTACTGCGGCAGTACACGGATGACCCACGCAGGCATCACCTGTCTCTGCTTCCTGAGCCACCAGATGTGAGTGAGTTCGCACCCCCCTGGCACAAGCCAGCTGCTGTGTCTCCCTGCCATGGTGGGCTGTACCCCGACTGTGAGCTGAAATGAATCCCTCATCTATTAAGTTGCTTCTACAAATACAAGACAACCTCTGTAGCTGCCAGGGACTGGTTCCAGGACCTTCATGGGTGTCAGGACCCTCAGAATCCATTCCATGCTCAAGTCCCTTATAAAACGGCATGCTAACTGCATATAACCTGCACACATCCTCCCACATGCTCTAAGTCATCTCAAAAGTATTTATATTGCAGACGCCTAATGGAAGGTAAACTCTGTGTAAAAAATGTGTTCCATTGTATTATTTAGGCAATAATGACAAGAAAAAGGTTGGCACATGTTCAGTATAAAGGGAGTTTTAAAAATACTTCTTTTAAAATATAATATTTATGTATTATTGTTTGTGGTATGTATACATGTGGTGTGTATGTGTGTGTTTGTGTGTGCCTGTGCCATGCAGCAGGGGAGGGTGAATGTTCCACAGTGCATGTATGGAGGTCAAAGGACAACTTGCAGGATTGGTTCTCTGCTTCTACAAGGTCGGTCTCAGAGATAAAACTTAGCCGGTTGAGCCTGGTAACAAGGACTTTTACCCTCTGAGCTATCGTGCCTGCCTTTAGTGTGTATTTTCAGTCTGAGGTTGTTGTATCCACAGATGCAAAACCCACAGGTCTGGAAGGACAAATGTACTAACAGTTATTCTTGATAGTTTTAGCTATGGCGATCAACAATAAATGGGTCATAACAAAATAAATAGAAAATTTTATTGGAAGTTCAAGGAACTTAAAATTAATTTTAATAAGTAAGTGCAGATTGGCATATCATTTACTTGAAGGACAGTGGGTCATTAAATTGTTTGCATACCAGATTATTGTTTATGTTTAATAATATTCTCTTGGTGAAATTCCACAAGAAAAGATAATGACAAATTATAAATATCTGATGTTAGATAATTTTTTAAAAATCTCCTAATCATCAAGAAACAGCTTATGAAACTGTTAATACTGCTTGGATTGAAACATGTTAGAATAAATCTTGTTTTGTATGTCAATATGTACAATGTGGATAGGCTCATGACATATAACTCTAGGAGGCAATGAAGTATGCCCAGGATTTTGGACTACCTTCTAAAAGCTGAATTTGTTCCAGGGATGAGTTGGGAGTCCTGGCTCCAGGGTGCAGTAATGGCTTGTCCAGGCAGGTTCCTCCCTATGTGATGACAAATACCTTGATGCAATGCCACTGTGCTTTGATTTTTCTCCCAACTTTCTTAAAAGAAAATGTGTGGTTTCTATATTAACTTGGCTTGCAGTGCAGTCTTTGGTGTCCTTGCTACATATCATCATAAACTCCTCTCTGTTCTGCCGACTTTCCTCATACCTACACTGTGAGAGTCTGGCCTTCCTTTTTCTTTTCTTGTCATCTGGGAGGTGCCCGGCGCTCTTCCTTGCCCTACTACCTCTGTTCACGCCGGACATCTGGTGTGCCTCACACAGCTTGCCAATGCATTAGCAAGCTTACCTGTCATTTGCCTAGAGTTGCCTTGGTCAGTGCTACTCTTCTGTCACCCATGTTGACAGGAGCACTCTGCTGTATGACAGGGTCCTGGTGTCAATTCCTAACTCTTTTCTTGGAGAGTGAACTATTTCCATGCCCCTTGGTTAGCTACATCACTTGGGGAGGGAGGGTCTGGCTTCCTGGAAGCTTGCCTCTAAGCAGAACCAAATCCATTGTGGGCAGGCGAGAAGACCTGGCTGCCTGCCTTATGGTGTAGCGCCTCCCTAGCTAGTCCAGTCCTGTGGATTTCTTTGCTCTTGACTTAGGGATGCACAGAAGAATCTCACACTGAAGACTTTCTATTACTTTTGAAGGATACTTGGAATTCACTGTTAAATATGCTCCTTGCTCTCCTCACCCTACTACCTCTAATGGCTCCTTTTGTATTCAAACCGCAATGCCTCTGCAAGAGTCCAGCTTGAAATCCTTCAGCAAACATCACAGGAAAAGATACTGCAGCTGTGCACACATTTAAATAGAAATAAACGACTATAAATAGAGACAGGCATCTTTCCTCTGACATCTTCTGAAATTATCTGCCCCTCTATATTAACCAATTCAGAGTGCAATTCTCCAACCACTCATACATGAAAAAAGACCCTCAAAGCCATTGTTTTTTGTTCTCCTTGTTCTCTGTTTACCTCTCTAACCCTCCTGTCCCACTGCATTGACTCTGGTCCTGGCCTATGGGAGGGATCCCATTTTAGTCTCTTGCATCTCCCTTCTCTAAGTACTTTCTGAAGCTGAGGAAGAAATTTTTTTGTAACCCAACAAAGGCCAAGAGAAACTGTCAGATGTTTGGTTGGAACCTGTAAACTGTTACCAGTTGGATAAAGTCAATTTTTAATCATTGTTCCAGATTGAAGGAGGTTGACCTCAGGTGGGGCTCTTTTTGTTTATTTTTTGCCTTTTCTCCTCATGCTGAAATTTCATAGTATGTATACAAAAAGAAGAGGGAATGGGATGAGTTCATTTACTTTTGAAATGATTAATGAAGCTAAAAAATTATGGATGTTTTAGTTACTTTTCTATTGCTGTGATAAAATATCATGTCCAAGGCAACTCAAAAAGAAAGCGTGTGATTTGGCGTATAGTTTCAGAGGGTTAGAGACCTTGATGGGGGAGCAAAGGAACAGATAAGAGATCATACTTTATTCACAACCAAGAGGCAAAGAGAGAACTGACTGGGAATAGCATGGGTTTTTGAAACCTCAAAGACCACCCCCAGTGACACACATCCTCCATCAAGGCCACACCTCCTAATCCTTCCCAAACAGTCCCACCAGCTGGGGATCAAGTACTCTGATAAATGAGCCTATGGGAGTCAGTCTCATTCCAAGCACACATTTCACTCCCTAACCCCTGTAATGAGATATCCACCTCGCCCACACCTGTAACACTGACCACATCCACTTGAGTGTGGTCACAGGTTCGTGTTGGGGAAGTCTTATGCCAATAAAGCACTGTCTGGCCAATAGGGAATCTAGATAGGAGGGACTAGGAGTCCAGGAGGATTCTGGGAAGGAGAAACACAGAGAGTTCGAGATGTAACCGTCATGGGGTAGGAAGCCCGGAAACTTCTCTGGTAAGAGACATACTTAGATTAACAATTATGGGGTAATTACTTAAGTCAGAGCTAGCCAGTAAGAAACAAGCAAGGCCAACAGCTTCATAATTAATACAGTGTCTTGTGTGTTTATTTGGGGACTACAACTCGGCAGAGCCCAGGTGACTGGCGGGTGATAAACCAAAGCGGCTAGCAAAGAAAAAGCTTCTCTTAACAGGTTCGGACATGACAGAGGGCAGGACTAGATCAGGGGCCTCTGACTCCAGCACCTTCTCTGGCTTCTGGTCCTGTCACAGAGGACAGCCTGGATGGACCCTTGGAAATGGAACCTGTGGCAGTCACCTGCTTCTTGTATAAGTGCATTCTCCCCAAATAAACTTCGCTTAACTTGTACTGAGTCTAGTGAATCTTGATCCCCAAGCAATAGACCCCAATAGGCTTGTGGACATACTTCATACAAAATGCATTTAGTTCAACTTTAAATGTCTTCATACTCTTTTATAGCCTCGACAGTTTCAAGGTCCAAAGCCTCTTCTGAGACACAAAGCAATATAGAGCAAGTTATACACCTCCAACATACAATGGCATAAATATACAGTACCATTCCAGGAGGAAGGGATGGGGAACTACTGAGGGATACTGGACTAAAGCAAGACCAAAACCCAGCAGGGCAAACTTCAACTCCTATAGCTCCATATCTGATGTCAAAGGGCTTAGATGGCCCCCCACCCCCACTCCAAGCTTTGTGCCTGCAACACACTTCTCTCTCTTGGAACAGTTCTACTCCCTGTTTGCAGCTCTCCTTGGCAGGTCTTCATGGCTCTGGCCTCTCCAGCATCCTGGTGTCTCTAACACAATCCAGGCTTCACTGTCACAGCTCCATGCAATGGTCTCTCGGTGCCTCCATGCACAGACTCCCTCTACCACAACATGGTCTCAGTGGTTTACCTTAACCCTAGATAGAAAATTCGAGTATCTCTCCTAATTCTAAAGCAAGAACCACACGGTGACACTGTCAAATTTGACTATTAGCTTGGGATGAATACAGGCACCCCTGAATAATATTTGTACCAGCTTTGGTTTGTTGCTTTTTAGGAGCAACAAATTCCTTAGGCAATTTCTTTCCACAAGTTGGAAGTTTAGCTGTGTGAGGTCTTACCCTGAGGGCACCCTTCCTTCTA